CACTGGAACCACTGCTCCACTTCCAGCTTTTTTAGTAGTTGATTGGCGATAAGGGTTTATCTAAGACTTTCCTGCCCAGGCTGGCTTCAAAGGGTGATCCTCAAATCTCATCCTCCTCAATAGCTGGGATTATAGGAATAAGCCACCAGTACCCAGCTTGGACTTATTTTTAATATAATCGATTTTCACATAAGGGCCCTTGGAGAAAATATAGGTTGTTTTTTTACAATACTTTTGTAGAGATACTTTTTGTTCCTCTAATTTTTTTCTAGTATTTTTTTCTCTACATAATCTTAGATGAATCTTCCAGTTTTGTGTTTTCCAACAGTTATCTATCCAAAAAAAATCAGAAATTAGGTGCATAAGATTATCTGGATAGCTATGCCAATATAGTCTGCTGTCACTGTGATTATGAATAAAATTAAGTCTTCAGGAATGTTTGGGACTATTTGCATGAAATACTAAAATTCTGTGTTTAGCATTCTTTTTCCTTTTGTTTTTATTGTTTTGTTTTGTTTTTGTTTTACCCAGAAAGCAGGAAGTCATTACAATATACACAAGTTTGAGATTCAGAGTTCATGGTAGCCACAGGTAACCTTTGTCTGGCATGTTCTGTGTTGGTCTTTGGGAAGCTAACAAAGTATTTTGCCACAATGTGGGTTTACTTTGGAAGAGAACAAAGCTGATGGGGAAACCAGTCAATAGAACTAATGATTGAAAACCATGAGATTTAAAGGAAATTCCCATGAGGAAAGTCTGACACTCCCTGTACCTTGCACCCTCTCCCACGCTTTTTTTTTTTCAATGATACAGAATGAAACTGTCCTGAATTAGTATCAGAGAGTCCTAATATGTTAGTTGTCTGTCTCATGACAGTGGCCAAAATACCTGCGAGGACATTTTAGAAGATTCTATATGTAGTCACAACTCCATGTTTCTGGACCTACATGGGACAGAAAATCATAACAGAGGTAGTCTGTAGCAAATACTAATATGTCTCATGGAAGACAGGAAGCAGAGAGAACCAAAGGAAGGGAGCAGAGACAAGCCACTCCCAATAACAATCCCTTATTGACGTATTTCCTTCAACTAGGTCAAATTCCTGTTGTTTCCAGATCCTTCCAGAATAATACTACCAGCAAGGAATCAGCTGGTAGTATTACACAAAAGCAGTTTTAGTATACAATTGCTATCCATACCAAAACATTCCCCTCTCACCCCCAAAATGCTCTTGTCCATCTCATAAGGCAAAATGTATTTCCAAGAGTCATCAGTCTTAACAGTTCCAACATGGTTCAAAAGCTCCAGTTCAAAGCATTTGCTGGAACCTAAGGCAACTCTTAGCTATGAGCCACTGTAAAACTTAAAGAAAAAAAGATAAATACATAAAGTAAAACATTCCCATTGCAATGGACGGAATAGGACCATAACAAAGAAATATTAGATCAAAACAAGACTCAAAACACAGCATGGAAAACAAATCTTATGGCTCCATACTCAGCATTTCACACCCCTTCGGGGCTTAGGCACTTGTTGACAACCATCTTCTGGTCTTCTGAGTTGCCACCAGACTCACCCATTAAACTCTACTTACTGTTTCCTAAGATTTGGCTAGCCTGGGTTTCCAAATGTTTCTAAACAGTTCCAAAGGCTTAAGAGCAACAGGGACAAGCAATAACAGCAATGATCCCCGTCACTTCCAGTTTTCTTTTTGTCTCTGTGACCAAAATATTAGACATATCTTTTTGGCCCATGTTTTTCAAAGGTTCAGTGTTGCTTGACTCCATGTACGTGGACAGAACATCAGTGGACGGGGAGCATATAGTGGAAGAGGTTCTACGCTCTTATAGAGAGAGGAGGAGGAGAATGGGCACTTGGTCTAAGCATTTAAAGGCATGCCCCCAGGACTTTACTTTTTTGAATTAGAACCCGGAATTTAAATTTTCAGGAACCTCCTGAAATATCACTACTATGGCCTATGAGCCCTCTTGGAGAACACTTTGTACCTAAGTTAAACATTTGCACAAGTCCAGTGAAATTCTACAACTCCATATAGAACTGAAGACTGCAGGTAGGATACACATGCACTCAAGTTTATCCACAGCCTAACTGAAATAAGTAGGATAAAAGTGTTGGGAGTTTTAAAGTTTTTAAAGTATAATAGCTTTCAAAATCTTTAAAAGTAAAAAATACATACAACCTATGAGAAAATTGGTTTTCTTCCCTAATTTTTCTTTTGTTTTCTTGTGTGTGTGTGACTGCTAGATTCATTTAACCTCATCAGCACTGAATGCTGACATTTTTAAATTTCATTCTGGCTGAGCACCTTTGGCTGATACCTGTAATCCTAGCTACTCAGAAGGCGGAGGATCTGAGGATCCCAGACAAATCTGAGACTCTTATCTTCAGCTGAAAACAGAAAGCTGGAAGTGGAGATGTGGATCAAGTGGTAGAACATTTGAAAAAGCCAAGTGAAAGTGTGAGGCCCTGAGTTTAAGCCCTAGTACTGGCACAAAATAAAACAAATTAGTTTGTATATTACTGTGGATTATCATTTTATTTTCAGATATGAACAATCTACCCAAATATTGTTGCTGACCCTTTTTCTTTACATGGTAATTAAAGATAAAAATATACTATAAAAATATATGGAGAAGGCATTTTTCACTTTAGTAGCTTGGAGGATTTGAAGAATGTATGATAAATACTGTCAGATTTTGACCTACCTTAGCAATCTTTGAGGCAGATTTTCTGTAGCATCATGGGTAGAGTCTGACTGGTCTCCAGGAGAGTTGTACAAACTGCTGTGATCTGAGCTGTTTTCCTCCGGTCTCTTTCAGCATCTAATTACTGTAAGGCCACGTCCTGTTAATTATCACCCAGATGTGTAACACATTCTTGCTCTGAAATAAATGTTTTCTTTTGTTTTTTGCATATAGACATTTTAGTAGTGTTAATTGAGAGAACAAAGTATTGATAAATGAAGTGTCTAGCTCATGAAAGAAATTCTAAAGATTTTAATCCAGATTCTTTTTACCTATTTTCTCCTTCCTGGCCTTGAGACCTCATTCTTGCTATACTTTAGAGAGAATAAAGCCCTAATATGTATACGTAAGCATGCAGGCACGCTAACAGAGGAAATCATCCCAATGTATGTTGTAGGTATGTATGCATGAGTATTTGCTGAAAGAATCTACCAGAAACTGTTTGTGGTGGTTTGTAAGGTGTAATGACAGAGTTCTTCCCCAGGCACTTCATCTGATAGTCAGGAATTACGTTTTCCCTTGAAAATAGTTTTAGTATAAAGATGAATCAATTCCATGACTATTCCAAGATAATATTCATCCCTTTCCTTTAAGAAACTAAGCACAGGGGACCAATGTACATGGAATTGGCATTTTGTGGCAGTTATAAAGTAAATGTAACAGGATGAGATGACTTCAGCAGATGTTTAAGTAATAGACTGTTCAGATTCATTTTCCTTTGTGCACTTGAGTGCTAATGGCTTTCTGGGCCCAATGGGAATGGTAAAAGAAGTTTGCAGAGCAAATTTAGATAACTAACACTCACAGAATCTGACCATTACATACTTCCTAGTATCGCTCTTCTGTAATCCCAAGGTTGTGAATCAATAGCAAATGCGAGACTTAAATTTTAATTCCTTTTATAAATAGCACTGGGACGCAAGGGAGATTTTGCATACATAGAAAATAAGATAGCACAGGCAACCATCTTCTATTTGACATAGAATCTGCTTTTGACTTTGAACAGCATTTACCTAGTAGCAATATAGATAGGCATTGGGGGGGGGAGAGAGAAAGAGAGAGAGAGAGAGAGAGAGAGAGGATATCTACTGGGCCAAGGCACTTGAATTTAGTTTTTTCATAATTCAGGACACAATGTCTTTTTCTATAGAGCTTACATCCTGGGGATATCTAAATTATAAATAATAGGCAAGAGCAATGTATTATTTTATTCAAGAAAAAAATATATATTGCCTTCTCTACTCCATCCTCCCATTATTATCTATGTCCTACAAATGAAAATTTGCCTTTCATGAAATTTTAACCACAGCACTGTGCAAAGATACATTATTTTATCTTTTTATTTTTCCACAAGAAACAAATCATTAATCTATTCTGCAACTATCTGAGAAGAATAGAAAATCTATCAGCAATTAAGTCAGTTCTTGTCTTTCAAGCAAATAAGATAGAAATAAGCTTAAAGAGAAATAAATTTTAAATTTAGAAAAACAACATTGTATGAACAAGCTTATTACATAAACAACCATTGCAGTCTTTTTTAATGGTTTGACTTCACATCTGTCCACATTTGGAGGCACAAGGGTGAAGCCATCAAGAGCCTGAATTTGTCCAGTCTTCCTAACTGGGCTTATTAACTGCATTGACCTCTTCTAAGTTACTTTAGGTTAGTGGCACTGTGGCTCAAGTGGTTGACCGCTCACCTTGAGCTGATAGAGCTCAGGGACAAGGCCTAGGCCCAGATTTCAAGCCCCACAACCAACAACAACAACAAGTTACTTTCGTTTGCTCAAGTGTAAAATGGAGGAGGATGATGATGATGATGATGATGATGATATTCTTTTCTTGAAAAAAAAAAATGAGTTAGTTTATGTAAAACATAATGGAACAATACACTTTTCTCCTTAGCTTTTGGCATAATCTTTCGTCCCAGGCAGCTACAGTTTGTTCATCTGTTTTATCAAGTTTCTTAGCAATACCCTCCACTTTTCCAATCAGATTGATTAACAAGTGCCTTGCATTTGATCTTCAGGTAGTTCCCAGAGAGATTAGGAAAAACAAATGCACCACAAGCCCAGATAGAGAATGTGGACTGATTCCTGAGCCAAAGAGGGAAAGTTAGAACAGCCATCTTACCATTTCTAGCATGGCTTTTATTTTGGAAGATTGTTCTAGTATTTGTTCAGTTGCTATAAACCTTGGGCTATTTTCTAGAACTTTATCAAATTTAGTTCTGACCATGTCAGCTTGGTTTTTGATGTTTCCATGCCAGGGATGGAAGGTTGGAACTTCTTACTCCATCTCTGCATTGGTGTCACCAGCTTGGATAAGATACTTTGACCATGAATCCACTCCCTCCAAGAAGCGTCCATTTGTTCTGAGGACAGAAAAATGTGATAATAAATGTGTCTAGTTAACTGAAGATACTCCATAAAATATGAATAGTAATTATTATTCTGAAATGCAGAGGGAATTGGAGTGGTAAATGTTTTAGCTCCAGGAAAACTTTAATACCAGTGGGATTGCAGTGGAATTTATGTCGTGTTTTGGGACAGCAAACGGTAGCTTCATTTATTCTTCAATGGCAGCTCCTTGCCCTCAAGTATCTGGAATACCTATTTGATCCTTCACCAGAGTCTGGAGCCACAATTATATTTCATAAATCCAGGATTTTTAAAGCTAGGTCTAGGCAAGAGGAATGGTAAAATAGAAATAAAATTTATGTAAGAAGAAACGGTTCATATGGTATAGTATGGTTCTCCCCAGAGTTCTCTAAAAAGTAAATAGCAAAGAAAATATAGGCATAAAGGCAAAGGAAAAATAAGGCTGCATATGATGTTCTGCCAGCCACCATTTCCACACATGGAAATGCCATGGAAAATACCTAAAAAGGGAAGCCACTAATACAGACGCTTCTTGGAATGTCCACAGAATCACCTTGTTATTCTTAACTTCCCAGAAGTGAAGAGCTCAAATGAACCAGCTGGGATCAGAGCAGGTACCTCTTAAAGTTGAAATTCAGAATTTGGTAAAATGAAATCTATGTACTTCTCCACATGTTATATAGATGTTTCTCATTACCCGAGAATTCTCTCATTTATTTCTTCATGAGCTTAATGATCCACCCACTGAATACCAAAGTGGTGTTGGATAAAGAATCATTGTCAAGATGTATGATTAACTTGGCTAAATGCTAGCCCAGTTTCGCAATGAAAACCTTACATTGCTGCCATCGAAAACTTTGCAAAGTAGGTATTTATGGGGTTCTTTGCTTATGCAGAAAAGTTCACTTTATTATTTGTCAGGTATTGCTTTTTAACATGTGTTTCATATCAAATACAAGAAAGGTCAAATGAAAATCTAAAATAAATACTGGCAGGATATTCTGTGAGAGAGTCTTCCAGCACATCTGGGAACCTCTGTGAAAAATTAACTCAACATGCTGGACTCTTGGGATGGCCAAATTATTAACCGGTTTTGCAGGAGTTTTCTTTGTACAAGCCAGGGCATACAAGAGACATTTTAGACCTGGGGACCATCAAATACTGTACAGTTAGCCTAGTGTATGAGAAAAACAGCAGATACTTTAACAGGATATCTAGTTCCATTCACAATAGAAAAAAGAAAAGAAAGGAAACCATGCATTTGTGGACATTACCTTTGAAAGGCTACACTCTATGCCTATATCTGAATGGAAAATTGAAGATTGGATTTTTTTTCCTATAAGAAAATTCAACATTGCTAGGTATAGACTAGAACAAATGACAATCACATGGGCCTGAGTCAGACGGAGCTTATATTTCAGGAAGCAGTTAGAACATTTCTCTTACAGAACTTCACATAAAATCCAGATCTAGATTCCCGTGATCTCCATTCCTGTTGTGCATTTTAGCAGGTAAATCCAGAGAGAAAAGCACTAAGAAATGTAATGTTATTTACAATGAGATTTAATATATTTCTATTTCCCCCACAAAGCCGAGCAGTAAGTGTGTGTTCACTGTTTAACCAGTGCTTGGAAATCATTTTAATACTAACAGTACCATGATGGGGAAATCACCATACTTAGCTCCTTGCCTACATACCTCTCAATGCATGTTACTTCCATATGACAGCAGCTGGTTTAAGCCAGTTAGAGAGGCTCTTGGGGGGAGTGTTAAAAAAAAATAATTCTAATACCCCAAACCCTTTCCTTCCTTCGGATGCAACTTTGGCCTTGTTTTGTTGCTGCTGCTGCTGCTGCTTTAAGCTCCTCATTGTAATGTGAAGCTGTAGTTGAAATCATTGTAAAGCAATGTCCTATTATGGGGAGCAGGGGGGAGAAAATCTAGTTGAAGTTTTTGGACAAATCCAAAGGTTGTATTGAATTGCACTTGAATTTATGCAAATATTTCTCAAGATTGCTTTGTCCCAGCCACATACCATGTTGTGACTGTAGATAATAATCAGAAAGATGAAAATGGACAATCAACAGACTGCACTCCAGCAGCTTCCCACATCTTTATATAAAGAAGTTAAAAAATAGCAGTGAATTATAATGTCAAGAGGTAAACTGCCAGGTCATAGCCTTACTTGAGGCTGGGAGTAGCTTCCTGTCATTTCCCATCCTTTACGGAAGCATTAATTACTCAGAGATAACCTGACTCTATATAATTTTATTGCCAGGAATTCAAAAAGGTTAATACTAGATAAATGCAGACACGTGTTGAGCCACAATGTTTTAGCATAATTATCTCCTTTAATTCTAGTAGCTCAGTTACATGGGATTTATGATTCTCATTTTAGTAGTTTAGGGATTAATAATTTATCCATTCAACAAATACTTATTGAATGCCTACTGTGTGCCAACCACCCTTTTAGAAATCATGAAATTTGCAGGAGACCACAAATACACTAAATAAGAATGTTTTATTTTAGGAGATGTTAAGTGCCACAGAGAAAAGTCCAAGAGGAAGGAGAACGGGAATTTCCATTCAGCAGGCTATCAGGAGAGGAGTTGCTCCGAAGGTGACTTTTTTTTTTTTTTTTGTCGGTCATGGGGCTTGAGCTTTGGGCCTAGGCGCTGTCCCTCAGCTCTTCAGCTCAAGGCTAGCACTCTACCACTTGAAACACAGTGCCACTTCCAGTTTTCTAGTGGTTTATTGGAGGTAAGAGTCTCATGGACTTTCCTGCCAGGACTGGTTTCGAACTGTGATCCTCAGATCTCAGTCTCCCGAGTAGGTAGGATTACAGGCATGAGCCACTGGTGTAGGCTTCAATAGCAAAATTTTCTATGAGAAGTTTCCATCTCCTTTAGCCTCTATCTGCGTCATCATACTCCTGTTGACATGTTTAATGGTATGGCCATGGATAATTAATGAAAACTGCTGTCAATTACTGAAAACTAGAATGAACCTTAACCTGGCCTTAATGCTCTTTGTCAATTTTTCCAATAATTAGGAGACTAATGCTAAAAGAGATTAAGTACTTTTCCCTAGGCAGTGTGTGTGTGTGTGTGTGTGTGTCTGTGTGTCTGTGTGTATATGTGTGTGTTTGTGTCTGTGTGTGTGCACGTGCATTTGGAGCTGCTGAATTTATTTTATCAACTCTGCTCTTTATCAAATATAAGGAGGCATCTCTTACCCACACTAGCTGGATTTTAAACAATATAACTAGTACATATGTAACTGTCTATACGTCACTTTCCTTTTTTCAGAGACCACCTATTAAATAAGAGGACTTCCCTACATCATCTCACAGATATTTTCTAAACACACGTTCTGTGATTCTGTGAAAGTATTAACTTTGGAGTTACTTTAACAGAATTTGAGTCCTGCCAAATCAATAATGTAGTCAATAAACATGTATTGATTGCCTTCTCTCTAAATAAGAGCAATCTACAACCAGTATGAGCTTTGGATTCGAATACATAAAAGTTTGTCACTGTCATGGACTTGTATCAACTCCCAGGTAGAACTTCAACTGGCTGCAGGTCCAGGCAGGAAATTTAAGTAAGTGAAGTGAAATGTGTGGACATGGCTCAGTGCCAAGCGACTTTTTTAGAAATGTTGAAAGGCAAGCCAAATTCTCTGCATCTATTTTCACAGGCATTTTAACTTCCAAATGCAGGTATGCAATGCTTGATTCTGGTAATTATATATATATATATATATATATACACACACACATATATGAAAATAGATTCACTTAAAAAATGTCTAAAGCAACCATATATCACCTCACTCTGAAACCTGGCCACTCTGCCTTCACAGTACCACTTTAATCCTCAGCCTCAGAGAATCAACTCCATGAGAGAGGGGGCTGCCCCTTTGTACACACCCATGCTTCTGACCCCTAGCACTGTGCTCACTGCTGTCCACAGAAATCTACTGAGTAAATAACTGAATGAATGTCAAAATTAACCAGAAGTCTGAGTTTTAAATGACAATATCAGTTCTCAGCTGACTCTGGTTTTTTTCCTTTTTTAATAAGGTTAGGCAGCTTGGCCTCAGGGCCTGGTGCTTTTTTTTCATCTTTTTCACTCAAGGCTGGCCCTCTACCACTTGAGCTATCCCTCCACATTTTGTTTTGTTTGTGTGTGTGTGTGTGTGTGTGTGTGTGTGTGTGTGTGTGTGATTTTTTTTTTTTTTTTTGTCGGTCATGGGGCTTGAACTCTGGGCTTGGGTGCTGTCCCTGCGCTCTTCAGCTCAAGGCGAGCGCTCTATCGCTTGAGCCACAGCACCACTTCCGGTTTTCTAGTGGTTTATTGGAAATAAGAGTCTCATGGACTTTTCTGTCCAGGCTGGCTTTGAACCGTGATCCTCAGAACTCAGCCTCCTCAGTAGCTAGGATGACAGACGTGAGCCACCGGCAACAGGCTGTTTTTGTGGGGTTTTGGTTTTTTTTTTTTTTTTAATTAAAAATAAGAGTCTCTTGGGTTTATCTCCCTGAGTTGGCTTCAAATTTTGATCTATAGATCTTAGCCTCCTGAGTATATAGGATTATAATGGGCCATCAGTACCTAGCTTCAGCTGATATTTTCAAAAGAAAACAGCCAAAATTTGGACCTCAGTCTTCAACCAGCCAAAAAAATAAGTTATGTTACCCACTGGTCCTCAGTTTCCTAAAGCATAAAGTAAGAGAGGAAGTGATAAAAAGGTCTCTTCTGGCCCTCTAAATCTCTGACCCTCTAAGTGCTACATATATTGTCCAATATAAAAATACTTGAATTTAGCTGAGGAGTTCAACATTAGAGCACTTGCCTAGCATGTGTAAGATCCTGAGTTCAATCCTCAGAACTACAATTTTTTGTTTTATCTCGTAGACTTTTGACCTGGACATCTTGACCTCATGTAGACCAGAGTTGAAAAAAAAAAAAAAATGTTTTCTGGGCCAAGCAGG